CTTTCTACCGCCCGGACGAGAGAGGGTAATGATACACGCTGCGGCCAGGCAGGAAACATGTGACTTATCAGTAACTTTAAACATCGTAACACCATTTTAAACAAGATTTTATTGTAGATTATACATTTTACTGATACAAATTATAAAATATTTCCCTTGTTCATTAAAAATTAAAATTAAAAATATATATTTTTAAAAATATATATTTTGTACAAAATATATATTTTTTAATTTTAATTTTTTTAATTTTTATTTGTAATGTGGGAAGAGCCTATGGGCTGGCCGCCACTGATGGGACCTCTAAGATGGTTTGCAATCACAATTTACACATACAACCTAAATGTTCATCTGTTTATTGTTCTTCTTGCATTTTATATTCAAGCATGTTGATTGTATATTGCTATATCTTGACATTATGTTCATTTTATCATACTTGCCATATATTTATTTTAATTGATGCAATTCCTTCAAAGGTTTTGTAATAGACCCCAAGTACTCTTAATTTATAAAGTAATAATAATAATACATGTGAATTATTGAGCTCATTAGTGGTCTAATTTGGTCTAAAAAAAAGTCAATGATGATCATTGTGAAGGGGTGTCCAGCCCATATCAATAATATACCAAACTACAGGCTAATGTGAGATTCAGAAATTAGTTTTAGTAGGCCTACCTTACATTAATGACCCCATGATGTGATTATGTATATCTTAAAACCTTTAACAATTATATTTAGATGTTCATACATATCTACATTTATGTATAAATACATGTGTAGCAGTTAGACAAACTCATCATCAACAGATCTCATTAATACGAATTATATAAAAAAAAAAGTTTGCTAAGCCAATTTATTAATTAGACAAAATGATTTGTGCTTAAAATCATATACTGTTGTGTCTCGGATAGACTAGGTTATTAATTAATTTTCCTAATAGTTTCTATATTTGCAATTCGTTTTTAATCTGCCATGTACGGTATCAATGTCTCTCAGCCACCGTAGTGTCGTGTTAGGGGGGCGTGTCGTGTACTTGCCGCGGCTGCAGCTAGACCATATTGGTTGATTTGGCTTCAAGCGGGAGATGAACATATTGATCAGATGATTTTGGCAATGTAGCTCTGCGTCAGGGTGGGTTATTGTGGCTGTCATTGATAATAGACAGCCTGACTAATCCTTAAAATGTGAAAAGACTCAGAAAACCCAGGAAACACTCGGTAAGAAACCCCATGTATTTGTACTCCAATGCTAAGTAGCAAGCTCGTTAGCAAGTTAGCTAAACAGAGCACTTCCTGAAACAACGACTTGCTAATATCACATTTTATTTTGATAGCCAGGCACTGTCAGTAACACCTTTATACATACTCTTAACGTATGAAGCTACTGCAAGTAACTGTGTTAAAGGCGGGACAAACATTCTTCAAATACTTGACAATAACTCAAAACACTACCATGTTGTTAACACAACGTAAACACGTTCATCAAGTCAGTTAACGTTTCCTTGATAACGTTACCTATCTTTTGATAGTTGCTAACATCATCACTACCGATAGATAGCCCTGGGTTTCAAAGTAACCATTTGTTTGTGATTGCTTGTGGTTGTTTATCAATAATAAAATATAAAAGCGAAAAAAGTTACATTCCGTCCCATATATCTGCAAAATATGTCTGCTGTCACTAACGTAGCTCAATGTGATTGGCAGACCCTGACTAGGTGTCTGCTTTGTGTTGGCTCTGCTAGATGTGTCGTTTGTGCTGCGCTTCGGAACTTTACAATTTTCTTTCAAAATTGCAAAGTTGCATTATTGTCGTCATGGAGATGAAAACTTACTTTGATTTAAGAAATATGAGCGGTTCCCACTTTTTTTTTACAGAGCTCTCACTATACTACCCCCGAGGAATACAGGTGGGTCAAACTGTCGCGTCCAGCACTGTCAACAGTCGCTGTCTCGGTTTAAAAACTGTATAATTAGTTAATTTGACACACTTGCCTTAAAACTATTGTTTTTATGGTTGCACTTTTACCTACTGTAAATGATGGTGTCTCGTAAGCAATTACTTATGACTTATTATTAGATTATATTTAACCTAGTTAGCTAACATATCAAGTTGTTGTTTGGACTGGGTAGACCTAGAAATACAAAAATAAAAACAAGCTCTAATAAAGCTGGTATACATCCTATGAACATCTTTGTTATTAACAGGTTGGATACGGATATGATTAGATGTTATATGTTGTCATGGTAATAGTTAGAAACATGTTAATTTTTATTTGCATCTTGCTTGACCGTAGATTTGGTTGAGGCAAATCCATTTGGGTGTGCATGTGTGAAATGTTGACATGGCAAACAGTGAATGCAACTAGATGCAGTTCTCAGACAGATACTCATGCGTTGCTTTAAGAAGTGATCAAACGGTTTCTGCTTTAAAAATGTAGTGAGAAGAACCTCCTTGCGTCAGGCAGCATGACAAAGAAAAATGTGGCCTGTGACTGTGCAGCAGTAGCTTAGTCTGTAGTGACAGTAGCGACATAACTTCATAGGTCCTGTTGGTGCATGTGTGTATTTCGAGCCTATGTGTGTAATTGTAAATAACACCAGAGTGAAGATTTTAATTTCCCCTCAGGTTTTAATAATGTGATTTGAATAACAATAATGATTCAAAAAAACAGGACAACCTGTTCAGACTTTAGCATTCAATGGCACACAATATTTAGACAAAACGCCATAATGCAAAATTGTTTCTTCCGTGTTTCAGTGAAGGACCCCGCATTACAGCAATACCACTGGCCCCATTTTGCACCTTTTCATCAGGACACTCCAATGAAGCCATCAAATTTCCTTAACCGGTTTTCTTCACCACCACCCCCCCCCACTAGAATGTTACCATTCCAAAGTCCTGAACTGCCGAACCGTTGGATACCATGTCCTCCTTGTCCTCCATGGCCGCCTTTTCCACCTCCAAGACCATTCTATTCATCTGCGTTTGTTCCAAGAACCCCGCCTAAAATGGGTTCTTCAGGGAGTAGGTTCCAAGTCATGCCAAGGGGCAGTCCAGCTCCTCATCATCATCACCATAACTATCCACCTCCAGGGTTTTTCTTCTCACCTGGGTGTGCTCCATTCAGCCCACCTAAAAGGTTTACTCCAGTTCCCAGACCTCCCAGTGTCTTTCACCCTGCATCTTCTCAATTCATGACACATTTTAGCAACTATCCACCACCTTCCCACATCAGAAGAGATCAAGCGACTGAATCCACGATCAATGCGACATACTCAGGAAGTCAAAATGTGACGGCACAAAGCCAAGAATCAAACAAGGTAATGTTTTTCTGTTTTTAATAAGTTAAACCAAAGCTACCTTAACATTACAAAAATCATTTGAAAACAGAAATCCAATTTTTTTTTCAATGCCTTTCCTTGAACACTTGTCACATGTGGTCATAAATGCAATACCTATCCAATCACTGGCAATAGGACCGCTCAAACCTGACTGTTAGGTGCTTCCTGAAAGCTTGTCTTTTTTAATTCTACCACCTTGATGCACTGACAGATATCAGAATGTATCCCTGGACATCCTAAAGTCTGGGAGAAACGGTTCCCACATACTGGGCATGATTGGTTCACAAGGATGTTAGATATCGCTTACTTCAAACATGAATGTGAACCGTATAGGATGAAAGATCAACTCTGGTGAAAGAAATTGCGATTGAGCTTTAAGCCCTGTATTGTGGACATAGCCTAAGATCGTTCTTGTTTTTGACCTGTACTACATTAAAACATTTTCTGTTAGGCTCCATCCAGTGATGTAAGGAGTTCCATACCCACTATCGAGCTTCAAAAGCCACCCTTCACCCCATCATTCGGCCCCAGCGACGTTCCACAAGTTTCCCCACTGCCTATTATAGGCTCGGAGCATTATGGGAGCAGCCAGAGGCCCCACAGCCCTCTTCTTCCTTGCGAGGTAAAATGAATTCTTCTTGATATCTGTATAACTGATTGTCTCTTTCTACTATTTAACAAATGGTGTAGCACTTGGCCTTTGATGAGCTTGGCTTTTTCTCACTTAAAAAAAAACCTTATTTTCAAAGACATACTTTCTTCTTCTTTTTTTAGAACCAACAACATAAAAGAACATCTTCAAAGGGAAACGTAATAACAGGTAAGATTATCACTGTAATTTAGCCAATTTTACACTTTTAAATTCTTCCTAAAGCTTTGTGCTTTAATTTTGTAGGCATGTTGTATCTTTGGCACTGCAGTAAGGTGAATCGTGTTTACTTGAGTGATGAAGATGCATGGCACTAAAAATGTCCACTAGTCTAGCAAGTCTCAAAAAGTGCGGTGCAATGTTAAATAGTTCAATACATAACGGTTGACAGAGTTTCCACTTTCCTTTCCATATTTCCTTATCATATACAGGACTGTCTCAGAAAATTAGAATATTGTGATAAAGTTCTTTATTTTCTGTAATGCAATTAAAAAAACAAAAATGTCATACATTCTGGATTCATTACAAATCAACTGAAATATTGCAAGCCTTTTATTATTTTAATATTGCTGATTATGGCATACAGCTTAAGAAAACTCAAAAATCCTATCTCAAAAAATTAGAATAGTTCCTCAGACCAAGTAAAAAAAAAAAGATTTATAACAGCAAAACACAATCAAACATTTGAAAATGTCCATTAATGCACTCAGTACTTGGTTGGGAATCCTTTTGCACGGATTACTGCATCAATGCGGCGTGGCATGGAGGCAATCAGCCTGTGGCATTGCTGAGGTGTTATGGATGCCCAGGATGCTTCAATAGCGGCCTTTAGCTCATTAGCATTGTTGGGTCTGGTGTCTTTCAGCTTCTTCTTCACAATACCCCACATATTCTCTATGGGGTTCAGGTCAGGGGAATTTGCAGGCCAATCGAGGACAGTAATGCCATGGTCAGTACACCAGTTACTGGTGGTTTTGGCACTGTGGGCAGGTGCCAGATCATGCTGGAAAATGAATTCCTCATCTCCATAGAGCTTTTCAGCAGACGGAAGCANTGTTAAGGCTGCGGTCATCTCTCTTGGTTGTGCAGCGTTTCCTGCCACATTTCCCCCTTCCAACAGACTTTTTGTGGATGTGCTTTGAAACTGCACTCTGTGAACAGCTTGCTCTTTGAGAAATTTCTTTTTGTGTCTTACCCTCCTGATGGAGGGTGTCAATGACGGTCCTCTGGACAGCAGTCAGATCAGCAGTCTTCCCCATACTTGTGATTTAGTTTACTGAACCAAGCTGAGTGTTTTTCAAGGCTCAGGAAACCCTTGCAGGTGTTTCGAGTTAATTAGACGATTCAAGTGATTCGTTGAACACCCTACTAGTATACTTTTTCATGATATTCTAATATTTAGAGATAGGATATTTGAGTTTTCTTAAGCTGTGTATGCCATAATCAGCAATATTAAAATAATAAAAGGCTTGCAATATTTCAGTTGATTTGTAATGAATCCAGAATGTATGACATTTTTGTTTTTTTAATTGCATTACAGAAAATAAAGAACTTTATCACAATATTCTAATTTTCTGAGACAGTCCTGTATATTCACAGGAAGTACTTACTAAACACTTGTGCTCTTAACGTTAAATACCTGGAAACATAAACAGGAGAAGCTATAACTTGTATTTGGTAACAGATTGCAATACATGGGTAATTATCAGAAATCATGTATATGGTAGCATAGAATAATTCATATTGAACCATGACGTTGTAAGACATTAGTAAACACAGAATTTTTTCAAACAAAAGTATATAATAAAAAGAAAATTCTGTTTCTTGTAGTGGACTGGAATTGCTCATCTCAGAAGAGGCACAGGGAACCTGAGGAATGTGGCGATAGCGCTAAGAGACCGTGTCTTCTGCCAACAAACTCTGTCGAAGCACAGACACCAACACCCACTCCTAGCAACTGGGCCAGCACTTCCCTGCTGTCGGAGCCGTCAGCGAGGCACTCGTCAGGCTTGGAACTATCACCCAAAACCACAGACAGCCATCCGTGCGCAGAACCAGCATTGAAACCCGCCCAGTCCTCCTGCGCATCCCTGTCACCCAAAAGTTGTACACAGAGACGACCGCCAATGGGGGCCAAGCAAGCCTATATCAAATCCGACCCAAAACAATCCTTAATAATAGAGTTAAGATCACCGTCGAAGGAAGAAAGTGCAACGAAAAGGAGCGAGGAAAACGACCAAAACAATAAATCGAGCCCTTTGTTATCCTCTGAGGTTCCCCAGAAGAACACTGTTGGCTCTTCGTATGTTCAGTTAGGGTGTCACCACTCTGTTCATACTCACTGTAGTTCCTCAGTCTTACCGGTCGAGACCCTGAGCAAATGTGATGCCGTGGAAAACTGTAACACTTCCAAACCAGCGTCACAAACAATTTCAGGCTCTCTGAGCACAGTGGAACGGAACAAAACCAACCGCCTACGAAGACCTTCTGCAATCCCTTCTGATATAGATAGGCTTTTCACTCCTGATCCCTTGATCTACGGAAAGACTTCAAAACCCAAGATAGACGGGATCGAAACGACCACCACGGAGAAAAGCTGTTCATCCAGCACTGTGACCAGCTCCAGTACTCCTCCTACTGGGACTTTGTGTTTCCAAACGGCTCCGTCTCTTGCAGTTGACACTAAAGTCTCCAACTTGCCCTCATCACATAACCCACACATAACTATGCCAACTGTAACTTTAAAGCGGATAAACCTTGAAAACCTGAAATCTATTTCCTATAGAGCCTGTGAACCTAAAAACTGCTCCATCGCTTCTTCAGGCAAGCAGCTTAAGGATGAGAGTTTAAAATCTGATGGGAAACTTACAATTCTCGCCCCCCACAACGTGAGACCAAGCACTTCGGAGACTTGCACCACAACTTCTACGGCTCGTCCACACCAGGAGAGGTGCACGAGTGAAGGACGTAGAAAGTCGGTGAATAAAGAGGATCCCGAAGACTTGGAGCTGGACCTAGGCCTGAGATTTGCACTAAATGTGGACCTTACCGAGAGCTCCAACAGCAGTGACGATGAGCAGCTGCTGTCGTTGCAGGATATATTTGAGCGGGTCTCCAAGCCTCCTGATACTCCAGAGAAGGGATCCTTCTCAGAGCCGAGTACACCTGGGAATAAGAGCTGCAAGTTAAAAACAGTAAGCTGTGCATGACTCGTCTATATTGTAGATAAAGTTATGCTTGTATGAACATCCAGTGGCTTGGCTCAAGGACCTGAAAAATCTGTAAATGCTGTTTGTTGTGTTTCCCATAGCAACCATTAGCAGCCAACACAACGTCAGCCATCTACAACAACAACCTTGACCACATGCTGGATGAAATAAACACCAAAAAAAGGTAGAATATGAAGACACTGCCCTCCCGTTACATTATAATTCGAGCTATAGTAATTGCACATGCGAGAAATTTACATTCCCACATTTGTTTTCTTCATCAGAGGAAAAGAGGTTAGGACACAACTTCTCACCGAGTGTGAAGAAGACCAGTTTAGAATAGCTGAATATGAGAAGGCCGAGGAGAACCGTGAGGCGGCCATCTCCTCTGAGCAACAGTAAAGCATGCACAAGCACATTTACACATCAACAGTTTTCATTGGGATACATTCTGTGTACAGCAAATAATTGTAATCTTTATTTGTATATACATTGTTCTATAGGGAGTTCCTGCAACGCTACTCTTTGATGTCCAGTGCCATCAGAGAAGTGCCTCCCGGGAAAATGATCTTCATCCTGGAGAAGTTTGGCCGGATCTTCAACCAGGAGACTCTGCAGCTGAGGCGATGCATGGTCAACCCTCAGGGGACAGCACAGAAAACACTTCTATGGTGAGTTGTGATGGTGTGCATTAGAGGGCTGCCCTCGACTAAAGATGTTTATACTTGACCAATAGTTGTCAATTCAGGCGATTAGTCGACTAATCGTCGCACGTTTATGATTATTGATATTATTTAGGTATTTTTCTCCCAAAATGGTTTCAGTTTCAAAGGCTGAACAAGTTATTATGTTATTATAACATCATGTTATGTCGTCTACATATAAAATTAAATAAAACGGTAAGGATGCACAGACATTAGCTTAAGGACCAGGCTCCGCTCTGAATGAAGTCTGAGGGGTTTTCCATCTGACGCATCGAAGCATCAAAGCACATGCATGCAAACATGCACTTTTCTCTTTTTTCTCCTCCGTCTAATCTGAATACAAGTGTTGATTAAGAGCCAACAAACATTTAGCCATCTATTTGGGGGCAGCACAAATGCATTCACACAAAGGTTTTAGAGCAAGATGTCGTAATGATTAAATAATAAATTGCCATGAAATGGGATAATAGAGGTAATAATTGCACACTCCTAAAGCCTCCCTGTTGCATAACTCTAAGACCAATAAGTGGACTTGTGATAATATCCACTCAGATAAAAGCAAATGAGTACTCTCAAAGGGATTGAACCCTGCAGATTTAAATGACGCGTGCATTTCAATCTCACTCATGTCAAAAGTGAGAGTCCTCAGGACAAACTACATTCAGCCAAACCAGTGGAAAGGTAAATCATCCACCCCTTCATGATGTTGGATGTAGTGAAGTGAACATTGGGGAACACAAGCAAAGTTCTAGGCTTAGTTTTGCTTGTATATTTATTCCTCCAATCTTTCTCTCTCCATATATCTTTCCTAGGTCCAGCCCTGCTCAACTGAGATTGCATCTAAACATTGAATTATTCCAGGACGCTTACGACTGTTGCTCACCCTGTCCATCTCAGGTTACCAGTTTCCTTTTCAAGGTAGGCCCCCCCCCCACACACACACACACAATAGCATGTCAATAGTGATTTCTGTCCAAATGTCTGAACTATTGTATTTTTTTCATCAGATGATGTCAGTCCATAGGGAGAGGATGGTATCTGAAAATATACTAAAGACCCTCTGTGACATTGCCCTGACTGCTGCTTATCAGATAGGTTGGTGTCCCTCCTCAAGGCTGTTGGTACTTGCTTACTATTGCAAAAAGTGAACATGTTTTTTTTCTTCTATGCGTGTTCTGCCTCAGTGAAAAGTGGAAACCAGCAGTTTGAAGTGTGGGTGCCCAGTCTGGCCGATGTGGTGCTGGTCCTGATGAATATGGGGGTTGCGTTTGTTGCTCTCTTCCCTCTTGAACATCTGCAGCCTCCATTCACAGAGGGAGATTTGCTGTAAGTAGCGTTCCAAATGAATACACAAATAAATCTGAGCTGAACGTTTTTCTATTTTGTGCGATTGAATTTCGGTGTGTTTGTGTAGGGAGGACATCTGTATCAAAAGTGAGAGTCCCTCCAGTAACGAGGAACACAGCAACTTCCCTGATCACAACTGTAACAACATCTTGAAGGTGAGGCTCAGAAGATGTCTGATAATTTGATGTTGTCTTTGATAAAAACAAGTTTGGCAGAGAAAGCACAGCCTGTCCAATCAGATCATTCACTGCTCTGTTGTTTCTCCCCTGTTCTGCAGTACCTGTGGCACTGCATGAGTCTGTGTCCACGGGTATACAGCGACGATGAGCTGCTGTTACTGCTGACTGTGGTTGGGAGGGTGGGCTTGGACCCTCGGCTCATCCTCGAGTCCAATGTGGAACTTTGCCCTCTACAGTTCCATATTGTCAAAAACATCAGGGACTGGGACACCATGGTCAGTACATGCATTCCTAAAAAAAGGAGTGTTTAATATATTTATTGTACATTTCATGAACACACAGAAATGATGTCATGATCATTTGGTTTATTTTACATTTTATTTATCTAAAATGTTTGTCAGCTGCCCAGAATCTGTCTGGCCTTCACTGATCTGACAGACGACCACCACAACATGTGCGCCCTAGTTAAACTGCTGCCCGACAACGCACGTGGAAAGTGAGTCTATATATTTCTTTAACACAACGAGTATTTTTTCTTCTATTTGATTTGATTGTATTGAAGATGTATTGCTTTGTAAAAGTTTCCATTTTGTTTATGTAGGCAACTGCGTCAACATCTGAGCCTGTCCATGATCTCTAAACTGTTGGACGGAAGTTGCACCTACAAACCAACAGCAAAGGAGTTTCAGGTATCCATACAGTGTCCTTTTAGATTCCAGAAGCCAAAATATGAATCCAGATGACTGTCTCTTGTGTTTCAAACATCTCCAGTAACCTTTAGTTCTCTCCTCCATGTTCTCTATCATAGCTCTCTGAACTGAGGAACTACCTACCCCGCATGCAACCCTCCACCCTTCTCCGAGGCATGTTGAAATCCTCCAGCAGGAGACAGGGGGATGAAGAAGAAGACATGGCAGCCCTAGATCAACAGGTGAGCCCATGCTATCAACCTAAACATTACATTTGGATCTTTCTTGTCTTGTTTTTTGTGTCTTTTATTATTATTTGCAACATTTTTTGTGATTAAAGTTTCTTTCCATTATCCTCAGACCTACTACCTCTGCTATAGTCTTCTGATCTTGGCGGATGAAGCCTCCGATATTCAGTTCTTCCTAGCTCATCAAAAGGTATGACTTCAGTTGTTTACCATTGCTTTTTAGGGCCACTAGTTATTAATTAGATGATTTATCATTAGGTTTTACATTTCTGCACATGGTGTGTTAATGTAGCTTTTTGTATTTTATTTCTGGCTCTTAGAAACAGCTTCTGTTTCTGTGCACTGAGTTGGAAACGCATGTCAAGTGTGACATCAGAGAGAACGAGAAATGTCTTTACCGGAGCAAGGTGAGTTTGCTTTTTAAAAAGAACTTCAGGTATTTTTTGCATCCGTGATTTTTTTTTTTGTATTGTTCCAAAAGGTTGCGCAGTGTTGACGGAGGTTTCTGCAGAGACACACTTACTGTAAAGTAAAGAGGGCAGGAGCTGAAAGTATATACCGTAATTTTCGGACTATAAGCCGCGCCTTTTTCCCCATTTTTCGACGCTGCGGCTTATATAACGGTGCGGCTAATCTATGGATTTTTACAGCTAACGGCCACTAGGGGACCTCCTAAATCTATGGATTTTACAGGTTACAGTCCACCACCTTTAACTCTATGGGCTCTATGGCCGGTCCGCACCCCCCACCTTTGAGCGGCGGGCTCCAGCAGGAAAAGCTGGAGGCCGGAAAAGAGTGAGACAGGTAGCGCGCAAAAGTAAAAGTGGAACCGAGAGTGGTACGAGAGACAGAACGAGAGCAAGACAGACAGACATTACGAGAGCGAGACAGTTTGTCCCCGTACCACTGGTTGAAAACCACTGCTGTAGATCACTGCCGGTACGTGCGCTGGGAGCGCACCGTTTAAGTTACATATGGTAATTAAACATTAAAACACCTGCGGTTTATAGTCCAGTGCGGCTTATATATGTACACATCATTAAATTTAGCTGCTGCGGCTTATATTCAGGTGCGCCTTATAGTCCGAAAATTACGGTATTATTAACACATGTTGCATTGTAATTAGCTCGGAGAAGACAATGAACAAGCCGTGGGCATTACTTTTAGGAATCTTCAAAGGAGTGTTTGTGGCATCCCTAAAGACTGGTTGAAGTTGACCTCGGTGATGTTCCACCTGTTTAACTTGTTTAACCAGTTTGTCAAAGCTAGTCAGGTCAAAGGTTAAAAACCATTCTCAGACTCAATAGATGTCAGAGGTAGCACTGACAAATTCAGCTTTATCACAAAAAGTATTCTTGATAAATCTCAAGTAAAAGCTGTCAGTCAAAAGCCACTCGTTAGAAGCAAGACCATGAAGAGAGACTGTTTTTTAATTGCTAATGTAGACATGTCATCAAATTTGAAGCTGTTCCATCCAGACTTCACTATTCTAATATTAATCCAAATGAATCCTTCCTAATAACCTCATTAGCAGATGTTTGCCCTCACTGAAGAACACTTTCATTTCTTGGATACAATTTAAAGTAATTTTTTGCTAAAAGAAAGGAACATTCATGGAAATGTGTTTAACGAAACGGTACACTTTAATTGTTGACGTGGTTTCAAGATGCAGTAACCCTATCATTAAAAATCCTTCTCCTCTTCCTCCAGGTGAAAGACCTGGTGGCCAGGATCTACACCAAGTGGCAGATGCTCCTTCAGAGGACCAGGCCTCTCCATGTACAGTAGACTTTTACAGACTTATATGAATGTTTTCCTCTTTAAAATAAACAACCAAGTCATGTGAAATAAGATCAGTTTAACAGTCAAACAATTGTATAGTTCTGATTTACAAATGTGTATTTTCCTCCCGTAGGGTAAACTGTATGATTATTGGCAGCCTTTGTCTGTGGCTACAGTGACGAGCAGCCAAGAAGAGCAGGAAGTGGACAACAGTGATGATGGAGAAGAGCCTATGATGGAGGAAGATGAAGAGGAGGACACCAATGACACTGAAGAGGTTGTGATGTTATCTGAGGACGAGGAGAAGGAAGAGTGAGACAACGCGAGTTAACGAGTTCATTTTATAAATAATTCCCAGTTTTGCGTACTGCTTGTTGATTCATTGTTAATTTCACTGTTGAGTGTGAGTGTTTTTTTTAAATATCCATTTTGGACAAATATTTTTTTAAGAATGACAAATGTTTTTTTTATGGCTGTAGCCAAAAATAGTAAATAAACTTTGTTTATACATGTTTGAAAATGAATTGTTGTCCTTGTCTCCTTCACCAATATTAGCAATATTATTATATTCATGATCTTAATATTTTACAGTACAGAACTAAACTACTTGTGATTTAAGTTAATTTACTTGTAATTAGCGTTATGTTATGTTTTAATAGCATCACATGCTTATTGTTAATTATAAGACCTTTACAAGAACTTCTTAAAAGTTTATAGTCTGCTTAAAACATAAATAAAAGCCTTGTGAATTTCTTATACATTTTTATAATAGCATTATGCCATTGCCAAAACTTTACAAATCTTTTGGTTGCTTTATTTAGATATAATAATAAATATTACATGCACTTAAATATGAATTTATAAAAGTAAAAAAGTTCAATAGATAACTTTCGGCCACTAGATGGTGGACTCCCCTCACCCCTCCATTGCTTTGTTTGTATATTCCTAACCAACTAGCAAACGCAAAACTTATCTTTACTGGCCAAGCAGAACGGGGCTGCCTCGGCTTGGCTTTTCCATAGACTGTAAAAGGGGCTTTTCAGCCATTCAAAATCGAGCTGACACTAAGCAAAAGCAGTACTAATGTTTAACCTGTTGTTATCCCTCTACAAGAGATAAAGACAGGCGCATACCGTTAGAAAAATGGCACAATTTAGCACCAACAAATTGCATGTTATTGTTTAGTCTTGTAGATTGTATGGTCAAGCTGTATGAAACCCCACAAGATTATAGTAGCCTCCTTTTGCCGTAAATATATGGTTGTTCACGCTTAAAGTTCCTGCGCGCTCCCGCGAGAATCATGCAAATCTCGGAGGGCAGGCCGAAAAGTTGCAACAGTAAATTGAGATAAATATCGTAAACTTTGACTATATCAAACACAGGTTTTCCTTGGCTTAGACGCGAATAACTGAGTGTAAAAGTTTACAATCTGATATTTATCCGGCCAAGATATGTGTGATAGTCAAATAATATCCCTGTTTATAACAGCATCATGTGGATTTGGGGATACAACCGAAGAATTAGCTTCTTTGCCTCTTCGCCTCGGTTGTTGGTTTGTTCCACTCCGCCCCACTTTCATTGGGTTGCTAGGCGACAGTAGTCAGGTGACTGTCTGCAGACAGAACATGGCTGACCTGTCAGAAGACCAAATTTAGCATAATCGATCTTATTTTTACGGCGTTTCTGACCACCGTTTGCCGTCGTGGAAAGCAATTGACCACAGGAATTCAAGGTAAGCATGAGAGTGCTCATATTTGGCTGGATAAATCCCTCTGTTGTTGCTGGGAACAGCTGTAGCTAACGTTGGTGTTGAATAGCTAAGTTGAGCTAGCTGCTAACAGTCCCCGCTTTCTCTGCCAGAAGTCTGTATGAATGTGAAAGCGAGTAGCTATGAGGAAACAACATTTAGGCAACTTGATATCAATGCAACATGGTGTCCTACGTATAAATCGTAACTTGATCGGAAAGCCAACGCCAATGATAGTTTATTGAATCTGAAGTATTGCCGTACAACTTCATCAGCATCAAGTTAAAGTGTAATTTATCGTGTGGTATATCAGTGACCCTTTCACCCACATTCAATATCAACACACATTCAGACAGTGCCCCCATGAGTAGGATATCAGAGCATCACCATTTTAAATGAATCGTGTCATCAGTTAGTCTTTTGAACTTAGTACATTGACAGTGAATCCGACTGTGTGGGTAACCTGTTCCATAGTATGGGCTGTGGCATATCCAATTATAACATGCACACACCATCACACATACAGTAGATAAGCATTAGAATGAAGGATTGTTTTCCCTGGTTTATTTCAAAGAATGGAGGGTTAAACCTTTGACCACAGGGCAGCACTTTATACTGTCTGTAGATAATTTATTTAGCCTCTGTCGTGCCATGAGCTTTCTTTCTATGTCAAATATTGTACTTGTTATTTTGCAGCTAAATCAAGATTCTCAGTGATACGAGCCAGAAAACAGAAAATAAGAAAAAGATAAATGCTTTAATGCAGTTTTATTTGTTTTACTTCTATAATAAATGGTTCCTATATCTCAGTGATACTGCTGTTACAGTGTCCTAAGAGTTGTTATAAATTGTAATTTTTTGTGGAGCTGCTCCATTCCATGTTTTGGATGATATTATCACCACTATTGTTTATACATTTGCAGACAACTGCTTGTTTTTGCCATTCAAAGTCCTATCTAAATGTTATTTCCTCCAACAAGCTTTTACATTACAAACGTCTCCCAGCTGTTTACATTGCTCAAAATTGGTTTAAAATGTACAAACAAAAACAGATACTTAAGCTACAATATTACACAATAAGATCATTGTTTTTTAAATTGTATTTTCCCTTAATGATTAATTAATGACAAGTGTTTTGAAGTCCCTGCATTATTTATTCCAACAATAACAGCAAGCAATCTGATTGCAGATGAGCAGGTTGCCGGAGGGAATAGTGAACGGCCCAAGCAGGAGTGAACACTTAGAGAATGGTGTTCAGAGTTGGGAGAGACCTTGGACTCTTGAAGAGATGCGGCAGAGCAGCGCCAACTGGTCCTTGGCCGCCGACTCGGGGGTAAGTCCCTCATCCCCAATAGGCCAAGAAAACATATTATATATGTTATTCATCATTATCTATTCTGAAATTGTCTGATTATTATGCAGGGGTTGTGAAATGTGTTCTGCTTTGGGCTAATAAAGGAACTCTGCAACTGTTGATGACGTCTTCATAACTGTTTTTTAAAATCTTTCTTCACAGCTCTTCCTGTTCCTCCAAGAGTTTTCCCAGAGAATGCTGTCGAAGACGCATGATATTGAGAAGCAGTTGGACAGTCTGATCCGTGACACCAAGAACACAGACAGCTGCTTGCACTCTGTGTTTAACGACTTTCTCATGCTTTCCAATACGCAGTTTATAGAAAATGTAAAGTATATAATTTCTTCAATTTGACTGGATACATTTCAATTGAGACAATTCAATCCATTTGATTGTATACATTGAAACGTTTTGTGTTACAGAGAGTGTATGATGAAGAGGTAGAAGAGACGATACCCAAGGTGGAAGCTTTGGAGAAGCAACCTGAGCAGGTATCAAAAATACATCCTTCCTCATACACTGACCAAACAGTATCATACTGAATATCCCTCCTTATTATGGCCAAGCTTTGCATCACCCTGTTTTCCCTACAGGAGAAGACACGGGAGCAGAAAGAGGCCGAGCTGATCCCTAAGATGCAGGAAGCTGTAAACCACGGTCTAAAAGTGCTTGAGTCAGCGTTTGAGCATCTGGACATCAAAGCAGGAAACTCGGATTCAGAGGATGAAGAGGTCACTGACAGACTGGAGGCCATCCTTGAACCCAAGGTGTGCTCTTGATCTTGAAACTCTCATTTATGTTTAGTGAAAACATGTAATAACTCATCTTCAAACGAATGTACTTTATCCGGTGTGTCTGTTTTTCTCATTGTCTTTCAGGATCTTTATGTGGACAGGCCGCTTCCATATCTTATTGGTTCCCAGGCCTTCATGAATCAAGAGGACGTTGGCCTTGGTGACCTCTCAAGTGATGGTAAACTCTTCATTGCAGCTTTTAATGTCGCTCCTACATCAAACTCGTTCCTTTTTGTCATGTGTTCGAATGATTTGTTTTCCAGAAATGTCAGTTGACAGCGAGAGAGACAGTGTAATCGATGGCGAAGACGCAGTTGTAAGACGTTCTTTCCCTTCTTTTAATAGTATTTTCTATTGTGTTCAATTTGACATCTTGTACATAAAAATAGAAACCTTATTGTAATTATCTTTTTATGTCACAGCATTCAGATGACGATTTGAACCAGGAAGAGGAAGAACGTCACAATAATATTAGGAAGGTAAGTTGCCTTCCTGCCAAACACATCAGAGACCACAGTTAAACTGAACCACTTTAAAACTCAATTGTCTTTCCACACTCACGTAGAAGCCATCCATGGTTAGTTATGATGATGATGACGATGAGGAAGAGGAGGAGGATTCTGATATATTCGGAGAATCAGACGGGGAAGATAACGATGACGACACAAAGGTATTCCTGATATTGCTTTGCGTTAGTACGGAGATATCTTTTGTAAACGCACTATTTGTTAATCTAGTCTGGAATCATTCAGATATGATCTACCTAGGGGACATTGTAAATTAAGTTTTTTTTTATGTCACTTTCAGAATACGGCATCATCGTCTTTTGCTGACGAGCTAGCAGCCCGAATCAAGGGTGAACCAGTGACCAAACCAGAGGGAGATCGAGCATGTAAGTCACCATCATTACCAACAAGCTGGTCAAATATCATCTCCATTGTTAATCCCATTCTTCACATTTAATTTAAGGAAAACACAGCATCAACGTTTTTTTACGTAATGACGTTTTAGCATGTGCATGCTCATGCCTTGTGTTTTTACCATTTCATTCTTGGAAGCATTGACATCTAAGAAGAAAAGTAAAAGCAGGAAAGAACCAAAGCCTGCGAAGCCCGAGGGTAGGACTTTTATTCATCATCAGTGCATTCAATTCAAACTTCAGTTATTTCCACCGCAGGCCCATGGTTCCCAGTATGCCTCTCAATACTTGTTATGTTCATTTTAACAGCAGCTGAAGAGGACAGCGATGACATGTTTAAGCCACCAAAGATGGAGGATGAAGATTTCTCCCCATTTGGAGGGAAAGGCGGCCTCTTCAGTGGAGGGAGAGGCCTGTTTGACGATGATGATGAGGTATATGAAACTCAATTATTTTCAGAGCTAACTCTTATTTATTCCTCTAAACAATAAGTTTAATTTGTGCTGTTTTTATTTTATACCATTCAGGGTGATCTATTCTCAGATGCACCAAACCCTCCTGCGTCAGAAGAGAAAAAAGTGCAGAATGAAAGAATAAAAACCACAGCAAAAACTGCAGGTAAGACTGACTTTCTACATAAATATCAGCAAAGAAATGAGGTAGAAGCATATAGAAAAAACTAGACGAGGGCAGATTGCCACATAACCTTT